GAAAAACCCCCGTTCGTTTTTTTTTTGGGTTTTTTTTTTTTGCTGGGGGAAACCCCCCCCCTTTTGGGGGGGCCCCCCCCCTTTGGGGAAAGGGGGGTTTTTTTCCCCCCCCCCCCCCCCCCCCCCCCCCTCTCTCTGGTGCGCGTCGTCTGTGCCGTAGTCGCTTGTGGGCCGAATGGGAGCGGGCTTCGAGGAGCTCAACACCGACTTCGGGGAGCTGTGCGACGGGGTGATCGACACGGTGCTACAGGAGTACGACGAGGCCGTGGACGGGGTGAGCGGCGCGTCGGGGGTGCTGTCCCGCAAGAAGGCCGAGCTCAAGAGACACTGCCTGCGGGAGCTGGGCTTGAGGTGGGTCGGACAAGGCTGGTGGATGTGAGAGTGATACAGCAGTGGATAGGTTATGTAGCAAGGCTTCTATTCCCGTATTTGGGTTGCGCTGCTTGCGAGAAGAGCTGCGCTTACGGTGAAACCGAACGTTCTCTTGAGAACTGTGCTTGCGATGAACAGTTTTTTCGCCCATGCCATTTGGTAGCCGTCATTCGGTCTCGCCTCTTCCATTAAATCAGCTCCGATGGGATGGCTTGAAGACTAGCTTGTATTAATGCCATCCGTTTGGACTGCCGTCCTTTCTGTTGTGCACGACAGCGGTTAAACGCGTGAATAAAACCGTGGGGGTATTCCGGTTACGACCAACGATTCTGTGACGGAATACGGTAATATCCTCCGAATAGCCCCCCTCCATGTCGCAGCCCCCTAAAAATCGCCGTGGTACCCCCAAAAACTTTGAATTTTTCCCCGGGGGTATCCTCTCTTTTTTATTTTCATTTTTTTCACCCCTTTTACCCTTGATTGAGCCCCCGGGGTGTTCGTTTGTGGGCGTTTTTTGGGACACCCCACGGGGCGTTCTCACACAAACCCACGGACGGCATTCCATTGTGGTAGCATTTCTCGTGTGTGTGCCAGTAGCCGTATTGGTTGTAGTTGCTGTTGAGTCCCGACATTGTGTGGATCAGCGTGTCAGCGCTTGTGTTTGTGTTATGGAGCAGGTGCATTCACAGGAGAAAAGAGACAACGTCCCCCGGGGCCTTTTGCCCCGGGTTTTTATTTTTATTTTTAGAAAGATCGCCCCTCTACCTTTGAGATTGGCCCGGGGGTGAAGTATGATTTGACAAAAGTAAGACGAGGATCGCCCCGGGAGGCTATGACAGAGGGTATTACAGTACCCCACACCGCTCCAGTGAATTCGAAGGAGCAGTCTTGGTGATACTGTAGAGTGGAGGGAGTCGGGCGGAAACCTCTCGGCCGAAAAGCACGCTCCCGGAATTGTCTGAGCAGTTTTCGTGATACCAATTCTTGGTGAAGAAACCTGGCTGCAGAGCTCACAACCACCAAGATGCAGCAAACGATCCGTGCGCGATAGAAAAGGTCGCAACATTGCCGGCATTGGGGACAGCCTTCGCGAGAAATTAAGTGCAGTGCATGAGGAAACAGAACAGGGAGGGGTTACGCAGACCGTATTCCTTATCCCTAGCCCAGGCCCAACTTCCCCGATTGCACGATTTTTTCCAACGCGTTTACATACTCGATATACCCTGATAAGGCTAGTGGTCCAAGGGTGAGTATCCGGCGAGCGAAGCTGAGCCAAACGTTCAAGTCTACGCACGCAGCAGTGTTCTCATCGCTCTAACCCTGCTTGGAGCACCCGAGCGTGACGTACCAGATCCTCGATCGCACAACGTGTTTTTTTTTTATCACAGCAGTAGTGCTGGTGTTGTGGTAAGAGCACGGTCATGTACCCGTCCTGCTTGGTGTCGCAGCGTCTCTGTCGATGTTCACCCCCCCCCCCCCCCGTCATGGTTTGATTTGATTGTCTTTCTCCATCCCCTCCCGCCAGGCATGCAGACCAGGTTGACCTGTTGCGTACGGCGGCGAGGGCAAAGTTCGACGAGACGCTGTCGGGATTGCGGGTCAGCCCCGACGTCGGCAAGCAAATGATGGACGCCATCCAGGCAAGAGTATATTCCGTGTTGTTTTTTTCTTAAGGGAAGGGAAAGTAATTCATAGTAGCTACGTTTTTTTTTAACCTGGCTTGATTGGGCCAGCCTGAGGCCGTTCGTCGTTGCATTAAAAAAAAACAAAAACTTGGGTAGTCAGAATTGATATTTGGAGAGGTTGTTCATGTTGTCCAGAGCTGTGGAAAGAAGCTAAGGCATACGTTACTTGAGTACACCACCCCCCCCGTCCCCCATGCGCCCGAGAACAGGAGGCCGACAAGTTCTTCGCCAAGACGGTCAGGGGCATGAACAGCCGACACGGATCTTGGCCGTCAAACAGCGTACGGAAGGAACTCCGGGATGAGATGCGGGAGTTTGCTAGCGAGCGCTTGCAGCTGGTGCAGGTGACGATGCTTCTTGGTTTGGGTGATGATTGTTTTTGCTGTCCTGATGGGGTCTCCACGGAGATGTCTGGAGGGCATGGTGGTTGACGCTGGTGCGGGGGGGTGCTTGATGATCTGGTGGGAGCTTAAGATTAGGAATTCAAGTTATGACGATGCTTGGAAGACTGCCGCGGCTTGAGAACCGGGATCGAGACGACAGCAGTTGGTCGTTCTCGCAGTTTGTTTCGAAGCAATGCCTCTTAGACCGCCAAATTCTGTGTGATCGACGACGGCAACGCCACGCACACGTCGCGCGCGCACGACCAGGCGCAGGGCGGCATGGTCCGCATGCAGAAGCGCAAGCCCGTGGGCATGGCGTTCCACTGGTTCCTCCCCAAGCCGTTCGGGCAACAGGCGAGGGAGAGCCGCCTGGACCTTACTGACCCCATGAGGTATACCTACAAGGCAAACCAGGCGTCGCCGATGTTCATGGAGCTCTTGTGTCCGTCGGCCCAGGAGGTGTCACTCCCTTCCGAAGGGATTGAGGTGAGCTACAGCAAGCAGGGGGGGGGGGGCGTGATTTCGCGGTCGGGGGTGTTGGACGAGTCGATGCCAAGACTCTGGTCATCGGCGGTGTGTGTCCGTTACTAGCATCGACCGCACTAACCGGCTTTTAACCAATGGAAATACGTCAGTCTCTAAACGGAAAGCTCGTGTGTGTGTGTGTGTGTGTTTGGTTTGGTCAGAGTTCACTGCGCTACCTGTCGGAGCAATGAAAAAAAATGCCCGAGTCTTCGGGGGGGGAACACGAAAGGGTTTTTGGTCCCCGCCCCCCCCCCCCCGCCCCAGCGGGGACGAGCAGTAACCTTCGCGAGGATATTCATTGGTTTTTAGTGTTGCCGGGTGGGGTTAGGGTTAGCGATAGGGATACGAAATCCCCCTCTCTGTTTCATGAATGGAAATTTAAATCCTCTCGAAATTGGTTGGGCCCGTGCGCGTACGTTTAGCTTCAAGCACTGTAACTGGCTGACGACTATAAGGATACCTGTGAACTCTCTTTCGCGTGCGTATGGTCCATGCACAACAATTTGTCCATTTTTCCCCCAGCACAAAGGTGCACTTTTCTCGGGGTAGGGGTGGTTGTTCCGAAATCCGAAAACACCGGCAAACGCCCTGTCTCCAGGCGCAGGTCACTGTTTTTTTTTTTTTGCCTTCGTTCTCTTTATTCTGGAATAAGCGGGAAAGCTTGCTTGCTTTCGGTTGGGTGGTGTTGTTTGCCGATTTCGAATATCTCAACGAATTTGAATAGATCTCGGCATTAGCTGAGAGTTTTTTTTTAATGTGTTCAAAGTTGATGGAGTTATCGATCAAGAAACGGATCAAGGAGGCCAACTTGATTGCTTTCGTTCACGAGATCCAGTTAGCTGATTTTAAAATGGAGTGCGGCAAACGATTCCTCTCATCAATCCCAGTACAACGCTTTTATTTTTTTTCCGAAAACAACTCTAGTTAGTGAAAAAAGCGACATCTTGTTTTGGCGCCAATACAAGTGATACCGACGCGAGGGGAATTTCAGAGGGGGTCTCCGTGGTGATAACTTGGGGGCACCGTGGTTACATAGGTGCCTCCGTGGTTGTAGAGGGGGTTCCGTGGATCATTTTTAGCCCAAAAATGGTGCATTTTCTCTAAACAAAACAATAAAATAAGCTGTCGATGTAGCTCTACGAGGCGATCACGAATGTCGTTGTTTCACAGTTCCGTTCTGATTCTATCAAAAGTATTCGCACAAACGTGAATGTACAAATTGTTGTGCATGGACCATACGTTTGCCCCACCTTAAGCGATCAATACACGCAATTGCCAGTCCATTTCTAGTCCCTGCAACCACTGACTTTTACACCCGCTTTTTTTGCGTGTGCAGGAAACGGAGATCCACAAGGACGTGAAGCAGTTGCAAAAGGTGTCGCAGATTTTGGTGAGGAGGCACGACGAGCGGTTGACGAAAGCGCCGGACGTCTTCGTAGACGGCACCACCCGGGGGGACCCGGAAAAAATCAAGAGGGAATTCTACCGTGGGGACGACTGATCGTGATCGGGATCGATGATTGGTCCGACTGCTGCTGCTGCTGCTGCTGCTGCTGCTGCTGCCCGTTACGCTGCACCACCCGCCCACCACGTGTTTCCTCCGCTGCCGTTGCGATAAGTTAGCAGCAGGCGTCGACATGCAAGTGGTATGTTCTAGTGAGAGCCCTCTTTAAGGTGTGCGAGGACCCGGGGTCAAGCTACAACACAGGTCAGTTGATGCTCTTTCGAAATTTGAGCACACTTGTCTACGAGAGACGGTCGGTTGACCCCGAGGGCGCCGTGCGTACACTCTTTGGAGCGGAGCAGAAGACACGAAAGGGACGGGGCAGATTTGTGTAGGCGGTTGCTGTTGTTTAGCGTTTTGATGAAACCTCATTTTTTCTGCGACCAGTCTGTTTCACGAGCGGTAGCGGTAGCGGTAACAGTAGCGGTTTAGCCAACTTGGTCGTGTGCGGGGGGCTTCGTTTGACGATGCGGTTTGAGCTGACAGATCTGTATTGTGTGTCGTGGATGAATGTGGTGTTCTTTGCCCGCGCCCTAAAAAGTCAGCCTGAACCTGGTTTTGTTTGATGGAGAGGGCAGGTGTATGTACCAGTGTTAGTGTTGCATTCCTTCCGTCGCGGAATACTCTCGTTGTATTCTCAGGTCTCCGAAGTGATGGAACAGGGACACAATGCCACCCCTACAGTTGCAAATGTCCTTGGCGATGCGTCTGGCAAACTCGTCGTTGAACAATTCGTCAAGCACGCTTGCAGGGAGATACCGTCTAATACCTCTTTTCTCGCATCTCGGTTTTTGTAATATCGATACGACTCGAACGAAACCGGCAGGGAATGAGGCCGTAGTTATCCACAGTAGTATGTGCGCGAAAGCATGAACGAGTATCTAGCTTTGTGCGGGACTTGAGTCTCCTGAACCAACACGCCTCCTTGTATGTCTATCTGTAACATCCAGCGTCAACAGGACAGTCTAATCCCTCGGACTGGACTGACCTAACAAGTCTTCTCTGCTCTCTGCGAAGGGGAACTTTCATCCGTGACCTCGATGGTCGATAGCGGTCCGCCTCGTCTCACTTCCTTTCACCTCTCAGTATATACCTTCTCTCTGGTTCACCAGACCTGTCCTACTATCTACGTGGTGCTACACGTGCCCCACTTTGACTGTTTTGCTCAACGTGAGCACACCTTGCTAGATAACTGTAAAAAATTGTAACTCTCTTTTGACTTTCGTCGCACTGTAGACCTAAACCACATTTGGGTCAAACCCCATTCGCCCGAGGCGTTCTCGCTGACCAATGCAAGCAAAGACCACCCACGCGAGACTCAAGGATGTGTGCTATCTAATGAACTCCATTAGAACAGTTTTCTTTTCGTCGCAACGTTGCGGTGATATTTTCGCACCAGAGCGCGTAGCGACCTCCAACAACCGCGCACGACCTGCGGCCTAATCCCGATTCCATTTTACATGTCACGAGCTGCTTGCGCTGTACGACTCGTGTTTTACGTACAGCACGAGTCGCAGTGCGCCTTACGCCCCTCGTCACCATTTGCCTGGCAATTAGCAATCTACATAAACCGCAAAATGTTACTCACACCAGCTGCAGCTACAGAATCGTGTTTCCTTTCCGGCCGGAAAAACGCACAAACGATAAAAAACATCCGTGCCTTTGCTATTTCGCCGGAAAAATCTGGAAATTTCGATTCCCCGAAAAGATACCCCGCAATATCTTCCTCGTTACACTAGACTATTTATACCAAGCTGCCGGCGACGAGGGATCTACTACGAAGCTGCCGGAGACGAAGGTCCCTCGCCATTCGCCTTGCGATCGGCGTAGGACACCGAAAACCTTCCGCTGTCCCAGTCTACCCGGTACTGGCGCCGCCGGTAGTCGTCCGGACCGCCGGGGAACCAGGGCCGGTTGTCCCCGGCGTCGTTGTAAATTGCCTCCTTCACGTTCAGCACGTTCAGCAACCGCTCCAGCTCTAGTTGGTGCCGTTGCTGCGCGCCCCCCTCTGTCGCTGCGGCGGCTCCCCGCGACGGCGACGCCTCCTTGCTAGAAGCATTCGGGACGGCACTACCCTCGTCACCACCTCCACGCTGGGGGGGGTGGTTTTCGGCGGTGGAACCTCGCCCCAAGACCCCCGGCCCCGACGCGATCCGCAGGAGACGCCTAAGGTACTCCCACTGCCTGCCCCCGAGAACGTGCGCGCCCCGCGAGGAAGGGCCCACTCCGCCCTCCCGCAGCCTGTCGTCCTCCCCCCGGAGCCACTGCTCGCGCTCCGCGAGCGAGGGGAAGGAGGCCCGCCCGACGATGGCGGCGGCTACCGCGTTCGCTTGGAGCTCGAACAGCGGAAAGGTCACAATGCTGTTGGGAGGAGGAGACATTGTTTTTAAAGAGTAGGGGGGGCGGGGGGGGGGGGGGCAAAAAAAAACAGGCAAAAAAAAAAAAAAACGGGCAAAAGGGGCGGGGGCAAACCAAAAAACGGAAAAACCCTTGTTCGAGCCCCCGGGCCCCCAAAAGGGCCCCCCAACCAACAACAGCCCCCCCGGGAAGGCAAAGGGAACCCCCCCCCGCCCGGGACCAACAACACAAGGTTTGAAAAACCAGCGTTGCACCCCACGCCACAAACCGTTTCTACGAATACCTCGCCCTCCAGGTCCAGCACGTGCTCTCCGGGGGGCGCCGTGGACTTTACACCCTTCGCTCAAAGCACACCATAGATTTTCACTCACAGGCTCGAGCGTTCTAAGGCAACAGATGTGCGGCATCACACGACGGGTGTTGGCAACGGAAGAAAAAAAATCCATCGTGCTCGCTTCGTTGGAAAAGAACATTCTGCTTGGGGGTTGACAGGGACCAAATTCGAGACTACTGGTATGCACCTACCTCTGAGGGAGGCCGACGAATGACAGGGACGGGTGGTACACGTGGAAGAGGTGCTCGAACACAGGGTGAACGCGCTTCGACGCCGGCGCGGTGAGCAGCCCGGAGCCTTCCAAGAACGGGAAAGCGTAGTTGTAGCCGGTGCACCACACCACAGTGTCTACCTGCGCTTTGCAGGTTGCAGGCAGAACGCTCAGTGTGTCAAAAAGGCGGGCCCGGGGGGGAACAGTATGGGCGTCTATCTCAATGGGGACGGAAATAATGACTCTCGCCGGCACGCGGCAGTCCCATTTCGCGCTACGCCGTGTGTTGATGCTAGGCGCCTTTTACCGACTCCACCATTACCAAGGGCCATATAAAACGAGAATATGCCGTGAAAAGAGACGGTGCCAACCCAGTGGAGTGAGCAAGACTCTCGAGCCACGAGAAACATGGCATCCCCGGGATGCGCCCAACCCAGGTCATGAGATAAAACAAAGAACAGCCACCTCAAGGAGCTCTCCATTCTTGAACCGCACTCCGTTGGCGCCCTCGAACTTCTCCAGCGCCGTCCGCCACCAAACGTTGCCTCTTTCTCCGCCCTTGGAGTTGACAGGGTTGCTCCTGTCGCACACGTGGACCGCGTGCGCTGGAACAGCATGGAACAACAGCAACCCCCCCCAACGGAATGCGTACGCGTGAGCATGACGAGCACAAAAGCTGTCGAAGGAAGGTACGACGTTGTGCGGGTGAGACGGGGGTCATGCGGACGTGCGGCGAGACAAGCGACGTCAGTACATCAACCTCAACAACACGCGGCGCAACACAAACTTGCAAGTACGTGTAGCACTGCTGCAACACGCGAACGGTGTTTCAAGCGGGAGGAGGACAAGCGTGAGAGCCCATGATCTACGTCCCCTTTGTACACTGCCTAAGCTCTTGCGAAATGAGAAAACTGATGTACTTCTAGAAGATAGATTAAGCCTCACCGACGGAGGAGATCTCGCGCGCGATGTCCGTCCCGCTAGACCTAGCCCCGACGCACAGCACCCTCTTCCCCACGAACGCCTCAACGCCCGGTATGTCGTACTCCCTGGCGTGCATGACCGTCCCCTGGAACTCGTCCAGCCCCGCAACCGTCGGTGTGTACGTCTCGTCGAAGTGCCCGCTGCAAACGCAAACGGCGTCGAACACCTCCGCCACGACCTGGTCATCATCATCAGCAACGGCAGCCGCAGCGGGAGCGCTTCTTCGCCGGTACACCACCTCCCACCTCCCGAGCGTTGTGCTCTCCACCTCCGCCTTCGATTGCCCTTGGTCGATTCCGCCCCCGTGCCGGCCTGCAGCAGCAGCAGTGTCGGTCCCCGTCACCGCTCCCTCCCCCAAAGATGAGTCTTCGCTGCTACTCAGACTGCCGTCAACGCTGCCAAATGTGTGCGAGGAATCCCCGACGGAGGGAAGACTAGCTAGGCGGACGGATTCGACGGAGCATCCGAGGCTGATGAGGGGATGCAGGTCGTGTTCGTCCGCGTAGGAGCAGAGGTAGTCCAGCACTTGGGCGTGAGAGCTGAAGGATTGGGTCTCTTCTGGGAAGGGGAACCCGAAGTAGGACATGGTTTCTTTCGGCAGGTTTGTCACCAGGCTCCGGTCTAAAACCTCAGTCGTACAGGAGTCAAGGGAGAGGGGAGGTCGGAGACAGACAGATACAGTGGGGGGGGGGGA